ATCTAAATGTCTATAACAATTAGCAGTGCTGTTGATGTGTGGGACTTTGTGACCATGCAGAGACTCTTTATTACAAATGCAGAAAATCTCAAGGCCTTATTTCCACCAAACTCAGCGTGTATGCACTGCAAATTTGTTTTATATGCAAATGTCCACCTACCTGAGATGTCTGGGTGTCCAGAGTTACAGGCAGCAAGCAGCAGTCCAGTAACATACCTCCAACTCTAAGACTTTAGCCATTACTGTAATAATCTAATACTTTACCTCCAAATTCAGAAAGTCGGAGGGGGAGGGGAAGCGGGGGGTGCTGCTTTCTATATGGAAGAAAGTTTACAGAATTTTCTCTTCTGAGCTAATCTTTGACTTATGTTGATTTTGGTTTGAGCTGATCTTTGATTTACATTGACCTATAAAAAGATTTGCAAATCTTTTGATTTCCAGAAAACATTTAAACTAGTGTTGATGGATTACACACATCCTAAATAATACATGTGCTGATCAATCTGTAGGGAGACTGAATCTCATGCATACAGCTCCGTATCACACTTACCAGCAACGCCTGGCCAGTGACACTTAAGATTTCTCACACTGGTACCTTTTGCCATAAAAATGATTAAACTGACATAGAGCTGAAATTGAAACTGAAATATAAGGCTGGATCACTGGCATAATAAACTTTGATTTAGTCATTAAAGAGACTATTGCTCCACTTCCATGCAGACTGAGAGGACAGGCACCACCCTCACCTATTTCTGTGGGGTGTTACACTGTGGTTGCATTTTAATGTTATTTCTTCAATTTGATCATAAGTAACTCCATTCACACTTTTAGTTCTGAAAATGGAAATTCTTCTGGTGAACTACAAGGGAGACATGAACAAACAACATTTGAGGAAAAGGCATATTTAATTTGCATTCCCAACCCCAGATCTGGTCCCTTCCCTCTGAAGCCTTTTCATCTCTGACTCTTCTCCTCAACCCTTGAGGCCTCTTTTTACTTTTGGGTGGTGTTGTTGGCACTGTTAGTGTATTGCTCTCACAAAGGACACCCTGGGGCATGCACAGGGTCTCTCTTTGCACCCTCATCAAGGTTTGCCTCAATCCTGAGGATCATCCCTCAGCCTTTTGGCTGGGGTGGTCAGATGGACCAGGTGGTCAGATGGACCACCCCATCATCAGATGGACCAAATCCTGTTATGGAGGTCACCACATAAAGGTTCAGGCTCTCCAAATGTGCCTGATGGCCCGAGAAGGCACAGCTATCCTGCGACTGAACAATGACTAAAGACTTAATGTCCACTAAGAGCAGCGATGGTCCTAATGGCTTCAGCTCTTCTCCTCTGAACACTTTCTGCCACTCAGCCTTCACGCAGAGTTGTGAAGTACACTGATGTCTGCCAGAAGACAAGCATCATGTGTGATTTTCTTCTCCCCACACATTTTGCTGTTTGCCAGCTGAGGTAATACCCAGCCACCATACGTGGCATTTTCTGTGTACTGGCACTGGCTTGGCCTTGCCAGCCCCTCAACAGGCTGAAGTCCCAGGAGCAATAGCCCAGACAACCATGTCCCTGGTCCCACTTACATTGGTCTGTGATGCTCATCCAATGAGATGTACTACACACAGATGTAGGGAACATTTGATATTGCTGAAGATCTGTGAAAGGGGATCACTGCCCTGGTTTTCCCTGGTCAGGAATTATTATTACTATACTATTAGTATGCGTGTTGGGAAGATTCCCAAGCATGACACAAATCAGCAACTTACTGTAGATGCCCTTGGTAACATGGTTTAGTGGTGGACTTGGCAGTCCTGGAGTAAAGATGGGACTTGATGATCTAGTTGATTCTATGATTCCAGTCTCCATATTCTCACAGATGCCAACAGATGGACACAAAGCCCATATATGTGCATATGGATGTATACACTGGAAAAGTAATTCCCCCTGTCTTTACCCCCTCATGATATATGACGGAATGAAAACACTGTGGAAATAAATTCAGGAGGGGATAGGCATTAGCAATGCTTCAAATCTGCTTTCCGACTGAAGGTAAACTTAAAAGAGTACTTAATCTTCTTTTCCTAGTTTTTTGTTCTCCATATTATAAATCCTTCTTAAAAACGTGAACCATGGCATCTTATTTTGGGTCAAAGGGGAAAAAAAACCCAGTTGATTTGTACTTTCAGGTTCTGATTTAAAAGTTCATTTTATCTTGATCATTAGTTTATAAATCCTGGGTTAAAGCACATCTAGAGACTGCATTCACATGAATTATCTGGAAAAGTTGTCTGGAGTAAAAACTTAAAAACAGCTAGAAAAACAATTCTCCTTTACATTTCTCCAAATCCACATATAAGACTCATTTCATTCCCTGACACCTGACATTACAACTAAATCAGAAAATCATTTCTACCCATAAATCCTTTTATTTTACTTGTGGGTAGCCATTTTTTAAAGCAAATTCCAAGGAGAAAACTAGAGGTGAATAGAGTTTTTTCTCATAAATAATACAGAAAACTACACAATAACACCACAGAAAATGTCTTCTCAGAGCTTGTATCTTCAGCAATGAATTTATTATTATTTTTTTTAGTTATACCAACAGAATCTCCAGCTTCATTAACCTGTACTTGGACTGATCATGATCAGGGTCTATGCAGATACAGAAAATCAGCACTTTCCAAAGACGCCTTTACTTCACAGCATTGCTGAAACAGTAAGTGGCACAGAAAAACTTCAGAGGATAGTCTAAATCAGGTATTGCTGTCCACCACGGAAACTGACCTTAGTATAGCTATACTATGATTCATACAATGCATTTCTGGACATGTGCATTCAGCATCACCTTTTCCTTCTGAACAATAGGGCCAGAAGGTGGTATGCAGGTGTCTGGCTCTCCTGAACCTCTTCAACAAAAATAAGTATCTGCTTCCATTTTGGGATGGGCTTCCCAGTGTGCTCCAGTGAGGTTTGCATGCTTAAATTTCATCAAGCAACACTAAGCTCCATGTGAACACCAATAAAAAGAATTTACAGTGTTGATATATAAGCAAAAGCTGATGCTTAATGTCTAATGGAAAGAGAAGTGCATATAACATGTTTTGGAAGTCAGAAACGCTCAGACTACATGACACCAGAAGACATAGGTTCTGTCATATCCTGAACTTGGAACTTTCACTGGAAAGCATGCATCATCTTAAAGTCACACAACTCTCAAAATAACATCTATGTATGAAAAAACTACTGTACAGCAGGTATGTCTAGTTTTTGGCTGATTCAAGACCTGTGAGTAAACAAGACAAGTTGCTTCTTAGCCACCTCGAAACAGGTATATTCCTTATATTTGTTTCAGCTGCAAAGAACACCTCTAAGAAAACAAACCAACAACCCATATAAAGGTATTATTTTCTGCACTCAGATTCAGGGATTATTTTGTACCCATGATAAAAATTCTTCAGTAGAGCTCTTTGCTTCTATCAGAGGGCAGGCAAGAGACTAAAGCAATACACCTCTCATTTACCAGATTTAATTGAAAATGGGAGAAAAGGAAAAAAAGTTAACAGCATTTTTTAAATCCCAGGAACTTGACAGTGACATATATTCCTGACTCACATGCCTCTGACAGGAGGTCAGGCTGCCCAGAGTAAATAGCAGCCTGTAATTATAAGCAAGGATAGCCAGCAGCAGCACTGTGAGATACATGCAATAATGTGATTTACAGGACCAGGAAATAATTTTCAGATATACTGTGCTGCATTAACAGTCCAGGTTAAGTGTGTGCTGCAACTTTTTCCCTTGAAGGTACAGTAGGTGGAAGATTTGTGATATCTTTAAAGGCAATAAAGGGAAATACGGGGGGTGGGGGGAGGGAGGAGTCTCCTGCTGAGATGTTGTGATAAATTATTAAAACTTCTTTTTAATGTTGATGCTACTCTTTAACCTCAGATCACAATACTGACAGCAGAGGAAAACTGGAAGTGCTGTTAAAGCTGTGATAAACACACCATGCTGTGGCAACACTTGTAAGGGGGGGAGAAAAGAAGAAAAAAAATATCCTGGGGTGCCTCCAATCAGTAACATCAAGAAACAACCAGGGAGAAAACATCAAGTCATCTACAACCTCAATCCTTCAGTCCAAGCAGTTATAACATTTATGCTCACTGAGCTATCTGATTACGAGACCTCAGTAACCCGTGTTTTCCATAAACAAATATCATGCAAAGAAGCAAAACAAAGTGAACTTTATGAGAAGGCACATTCAGCGAACAGTTCACAAAGCCTACGGGGTAAATCTTCTCAGCAGTTTTGAACAGAAGAGGAAAATGGATTGCTGCCTTCAAAAAAATCATAAGTGTTTTTTCAGCCCAACATTTTTTTTTTTGATAAAGTTAACGCAATTTATCTTTATTAACACATCAACACTGACATAGCCAGTCAGCCAATTAGTGCTGCTGGCAGTGCATTTCACAACATTCATGTACTCTAAAAGAATGTCTGTCTAGTCATTTTTACCACATACACTAACAATTCTGCTCTCAAAATAGGCTGCTTGCTTTCTCTCTTCTGCTTTCCTCTTCTTTTCCAAGACTATAACCCCCTATAATGGGGGTAACATCTCTTGCAACACTGCCACAACCACCTGTCCCAGAGTTTCCAGAACAAAAAGATTAATCTGAATTCTCATAGTCAAAAAAAAAAACAACACAGCCTCGTTTCTAAATAGCATACATTTATTTGTATACAGGCCTTAAATGTTATTCTGCTAATGATAAAATGCAAACTAAAATTCCTGCAAGGAATACATCCCTTACAGAGTCAGTTAAGCAAACTAACAAGAAAACAAATTAAACTCCATGCTCTCTTTTCAGCATCCTATTGCAAGCCCACATGGCAACCTGAAATCTGAGTCACTCAAAACAGCATAGGTATTCTCCTTAGATGACCTCTAATGCAGAATCTTTCCCAAACATCCATTACAAAACTTTTGCTTTCCACTTACCCCCCTTCCAGTGTTTGCCTTTGGTCCTGCTAAGCTTGCTCAAGGCTGGTCCAGAGAAGAGCAACATCAAAATGAAAAGAAGTTCAAGCATAGTAATTTTCCCCCGTTTCACTGATAACAGCATTTCCACAAGTTATTACAAAAAAAAAAAAAAGAAAAAAATATATTAAAAAAAAAATCTTACATCTTCTCCCACACTTTCTGTTTGGTTAAGGAGTGATTAATCATTGAAAAATCAGAGCAAAAAGTAGCTTTACTCTCCTTAGATGCTGAAGTAATATCTCAATGATGTAGCCCTGAGGAAAGCCACATTTCTCACTGATCCGGTTTCTTTCCCACAACATGCAGCCTGCACTGCTGCTACTACAGTAGCTATAAAATAATTTCTGCTCCTCACTTTGGCTTCTGTGGGAATATATTCCTCAGCTTGCAGCGTGAGCTTGATCGAAAATGATAAAAACAGTAATGCTCGTGTCCAGCAGAAAAGAGAAAAGATGTCAGGATTGTGAAAAAAGATGAGAAGCAGTTGTACTGACAGCTTTAAGCCTGACTGTCTGATCCTAATAGCTGTGCAACCAACCAAATTGCTCTTTTAAGAGTAATAAGGCTTCAGCGAAAGCTGGTGTCACTGCCACTTGGGTAGGTAGTGCAGGGCTTGAAAATCACCAAGGAACCTGCTAGAGATAACGACTGCCACGGTCCCAGCTCCGAACGCAGAGGGCTGAGCAGAATACAGCATGCACAGGGAGCATCTAATCTCTATTGTGTAGAGGAGATTTCCTGCTTTACGTGTGCAACTGCTCAGGACTTTTGACTGCATTTTATTAAGGCTTTAGTTCATACTTCATACTAAAATGCAAGCTTCAAGACACTAATTACTCCCAGCATTTCCCAAGTAGTTATTGCATGGCAAAAATCCTGCATGCTTGCTTTTTCTTTTTTTTTTTCTCTTAAAGTAGCAAGCAGGAAGAACAAATCCTTAGCAGAAGCAGTAATCTTTTCACTGCTCAGAGCAGCTCTGCATTTTATATTTTCAACTATCCTCAGGATCTCCTAAATCCAGGGGGTGGGGGTAGAGGGCGGAGAGAGAGAGAGAAGGGGGAAAGATAAAAGGGGGCATTCAGGAGTACAGATATTTTCAAAATAACAGATTGCAGTCACGATTTTTCATTGAATTGTTACAGAAATAATGTAACTACCTACATCTCCAGATGTCTGTCTAAGAATGCCGAAGCTGGCAGTAAACACAAGAGTTTCTGTGCCAAATCTTAGATTTCCACAAAGACTTCTGTTCACAGAAAGATTCATGACATTCCGTCTGCTCAAACAGTCTTGTCATGCCCAGTGTTAACTTAAGTATGCCCAGTAGCCTGAATTCATCTACAGTTTGGCATTTAGTTGTTTCCACATAAGCATTCAGCGTTCAAATCAATGAGCCAAAAACCTTGAGCTGTAGATTTATATATAAAAAAAAAATAAAAATCAATGTCTTTAGAATGACAAAGCAACAATGGTCACAAATTCCCTGAAGTTATCACATTTTCAACCATGGACATGATGCCCTTTTCAGTGCAACATTAAAAAGAGGATATTAATAAATCTGAAGCCTTGCTTATTCGTCTGAATAAAGAATGATATTTTGACTGGTGGAGACAATCATGAACATCTACGTACAGGCATTTTTTTGAACAAACAGCATGTAACATCACAAACAAGAAAATATTGGAACTGCACCACATCAACTATGAAAGGTTTTTTATTTTCTTTTAAGTTCTAAAATATATTTATGGGCTGGTTAGAACATTTGCATTTAGACAGGGATAAAAACCATGCTGATATACAGTAGTTTTTCATCCCTCTGTGCATTAATTTTTAAAAGTTATAAGACATCTTACCAGATGCTAGGTCTGATATATCAAGGCTGATGCTTATGGCTTAGTTGCCAAAAATTAGGTCAGTATCTATCATGTAGAGTCACTAAGCTGTGGCTTCTTACATTAAATTTCTCTATCAAGCCGTTCTTAATCACCACTAGCATTGCTAATATTTAAAACACCATTTCTTCCATTTCTCTTTCAACAGTTACTGAAATAAGGCAGACACTTCATTCTGATTGCCTCCGTAACACTCTTCTCAAACTAGCACAATACTGCCATGTCAAAGCATCAAAAAAAATCACAAGCTCATATTGACAGGTTTCAAATTTTTTTATGTCCAGGTAATAAAATGACCTTAAAATTGAAACAACCACCACCACCCCTTTTGGGTACCACAAGGCAAATTTAACAGCTTAAGAGTTTGAATCAAACAAACACCTCCAATGTCCAAAACATGTGACAACTCAGTCATGCCTTAGGAATTCTAATGGGATCATTCTCTTGGCCATCTCTGCAGCCTCATGTTAATCCTGCCTCTCACATCCTTTCTTCAGTCTCTGTCATGCTTTCAGATTTTATAATCCCCTTCAAACTTGCCACCCTGTTTCTGTCCCTACCCACATAGAAGCCAGCTGCTGTGGGGAAACCTGTTTCCACTGGTGGCTGGCATCCTCAAAATACCTCCTTGGTTCCCATACTGCAAAAGAATTCGACTTCTCCAGCTCGGACACCTTGTATTTTCAGCATTAATGAAAGCAGTGGCTACTGGAAGATATTATGAGCTACTGTCAGCTTTTTGCCAGCTCTGACACATGCCTCCAGCAGTCTTAGCAGGATTAGGTACCACTTGAGTAGCAGCTCAAGTAATGTGGCAGGAGAAGGGAAGGACCACCCAATACAAGAGCTAGAGGGAAATCATCACGGCAGCTAGTCATGGGTATGTTTGGGTCAGTCTAATGCCTGAAGAACTCAGACTTCCACTCTACTATGGTTTTCTGGATTATTTTGCAAAAGGTAGGTTATTAAATCCACTTTGTATATATTAAGAGTGAGCTGGAAGACCTTCAGGGAAACACAGAAAAGTGTTACCACTTCCCATGAAATTTAGTCGTGTTTTTTAATGTCCTTGTTTCTAGGTTCATAAGAATTTCAATTTTCCAGAGCTGAAATGCCTCCAGAGAAAAGACAGTTTCAAGAAAGATTATACAAACTTTATAGGTTGAAACATCAGAAAGACAAATAAAAGAAACCCAACATTTATTTTTCCTTCAAGTATCATGATTTTTAAGTCAACATTGGTTTTTAGAGTTGTAAAACAACTAATTTGTAATTCTCTTTCATGCTTTGAATTTGCAGTACTAGAAAGAGAGAAAAGTAAGCAGCTTCTCCTACCTTTATGTCTGTTATTATTACAAGTAAAACTCTTACGAGAGCTACATGAGACAAACCAATCCCATTACAACTAAATGTCCCTCACATCCAACCAGTCTTTGCCAGGATCTCTTACACCCTTCAACATCCTTTATGACAGCTTACACCAGTCATGAGTATGAGACTATTTAATAGTTTCTAAGCACAGAACTCACATTAAGACAGACCAAATGCCCTTCTTTTCTATCATCACACCTTCAGTAGTGTTCAATCTCAGTTGCTTATGGGAAAAGTACAATGGTAAGAAAGCTCTAGCAGAGCTTACAATTTGCCCTGCCTGCCAGACTCTGCTTCTGAAAGGCTTTAAGACTTCTTAACTAGAGACTGTATCACAGCAATCAAGACTGATACTTCTTGACTTTGTCTAGCTCCTTTTTGGATTCATTTATGCTCTTCTCCACTCCCATAGTCCCTGGCAATAAGTTCCACGGATTTAATTACTTGAAGCCTGAAAATCATACTTCATCTTGTTTCTTTGAAAAATACACTTGACAATTTTATTGAGATAATTTTGGGTTTCCATCACCTTTCCTCATGTCATGGTATTCAAATATACCCTGCCTTTATACCACTTAATTCCAGTAAGAAAAGTCCTACCCTAGTCTTTTCCCAGACCAAAGATGTTCCATACTCACAATTGCCCTTTCTGCCTTCACCTTAAATATAGGCAGTTCAAATTTAGTGTTTATGAGACGAAGTCAGATGAAAAGCCTGCAGTATTCAAAATTAATTACCAGTTGCATATTTGTTCCCTCATTCTGGTCATGAAGCCAAAGGGCAGCAGCTACCATTAAGCTGGCACTATGTTTATAAATGCCTGCAGCATTAATGGATGCAGAGGTTCTTTTTAATTAACAGAATTTTAAGGTGTTTACTCAGTGGAAGCATACATCAGCAACCTAAATAACAAACCACCAGTGAGATATTAAATATCCAAGTTAGTTTAATCTGCAGTTGTATCCGGTTATTTGGTCACCCTTCCGTATTTTCCTTCTTTTTACTAATCGCTCTTTGGCACAAAGGACTAGTGGCATAAGTACTTGGTTAAAACCCCCAAGCTTGAATAAGCAGCAACAGTAACTTCATGGAAGCTTAAATATCACAGCCCCTGAGCAACACGCTCTCTTAACGTTGATATCTTGGAGAGGTCTGTTGCTTGCAGACTATAGGAGGAACAGACAGAAGCCTAGACTGCTCTCTAGTCCTCTGTATTTGCCATCCAGATCCCATTTCACTATGGTGAAGGTTACAGACTTTCACATGATCTTTCAGTATCCACAAGAAATAAGGCTTTGATCATTCAGTAGCGTTTGGTAACAAAAGCATTCTTCATGCTTGTATTTCCTGGCACTTAATTGTTGCATTGCCTTAACATTTGGAGCAGCTCAGGAAGAATTGCACCTTTTACTCTTCCCACTTCTGAACACTGGACAATCGACATAAAGTTATTGCAGAAGAAGATTGAAATGACTGCTTAGAGAGTCATGATTGAGATAAGGAGGAATGGAAACAGAAACCGAAATGCCCACCAACTCCCCCAAGAAGTTACACAAATATCATTTTGTCCCACCTCTTTCCTTTTCAATTCTCACAAAGATCCCATATACCCAGCATCTGGCAGTATGAAAATGCCCATGACTAAATGAACTTTGCAAAAGGAATATAATCAACACTGAACACTATAAGTATTGCAGCCTGCACCGCAGGCATGAAGAATATTTTTCCACTGTCTACCTCACCATATACAGAGGCCCAGGTTGCCGTAAGCCATAATTAATTCAGTTCTTTTTAGGCATGAAAATCATTTTGATTTTAAATACCTTCATCTTAGGGCATTTTCAATATCTGTGGAAACCTCCTGGGGATTTCTGTTAACCACAGACACCAACGGGAACATTTTTGGATACTCGCAATACAGTACATTGCCAAATATATGCACAGCATTTTAGATCAAAAATCTATTTTAAATTCCTTCCATTTTATGTGATTTCCAAGGACTAAGAAACCAGTACTTGCCCAAAGTGCAATCTGCACTTCCATTGCACGTATTCTGAAAAAAAGATTATTTCTCCTTCATGAATACAACCAAATAAATGAAGTTCTGAGAATCATTGTGTGCCAGTCCCCAGTTACTACATTTACTTTGGCTTTCACTGGTAATACAGACCCACAAAAGAGTCTCATTTCTCATCATAGCTAATTGGTAGGGTTTTGTTGTTGTTTTTTTTTTTTCATAAGATAACAAGAAAGCTTGATGTACAACAATTTACCAGTTTTAGTGCAATAGAAGAAACACATTCATAACGGGGACAGTAAGTGCAAGGCTCAACTTTCTACACTGAAGGGTTTTTGTCATAGAATCACAGAATGGTTTGGGTTGGAAAGGACCTTAAGATCAACCAGTTCCAACCCCCCTGCCATGGGCAGAGACACCTTACACTGAACCACGTCACCCAAGGCTCTGTCCAAACTGGCCTTTGAACACTGCCAGGAATGGAGCATGGAGTAAATACTTCTCTGGGCTCACTGTGCCAGCGCCTCACCACCTTCACAGTAAAGAACTTCCTCCTTATATCTAACCTAAACTTCCCCTGATTTAAACCTATCACCCTTTCTCCTCTCACTACAGTCCCCAATGAAAAGTCCCTCCCCAGCATCCCTATAGACCCCCTTCAGATACTGGAAGGCTGCTATGAGGTCTCCATGCAGCCTTCTCTTCTCCAGGCTGAACAGCCCCAACT